AGTACCCGAGATGAGGGGAATTGTAGTACCCGAGATGAGGGGAATTGTAGTACCCGAGATGAGGGGAATTGTAGTACCCGAGATGAAGGGAATTGTAGTACCCGAGATGAGGGGAATTGTAGTACCCGAGATGAGGGGAATTGTAGTACCTGTAATAAGGAAAAGCGAAGCTTTCACTATAAGCAAATTGTATTACTCATCATAGTGGTAAGTTGTGGTTTCACAAGTGAAAATCTAGAACACATGCATAAGGAATTGAAGAAAATGGTAAGCAGTTTTATGCGTAATACACGAAATAACAATAATTACACAAGAAAAGTATTTTCATTTCATAAGAAACATTTATAGGTTATATACTTTTGCTGGGGAGAGTTTAAGGTACAAAAGGTCGGAAGGAGACATGTCTGTGAATCACTGGAGTAATGATACTGTTTTCTTTTTTATTGTAGAAAATAAGCTAACATAGCAGATATCTGGATGGCGCATTGTTAAATGGCATATATTGTATTTGGCCTATGCATGTTTTGTTGTCTTTGTAATAAAATGAGATTGAGTATTTATGTTTGAAAAGTACAGATACTGGTTTTCAGTGGCTACCAAATCACTCAATGAAAAACGACAACTTGAGCATCCAGATTTAAGACAGCTTAAAGAGAAGCTTCCGGGTGTGATTTAGGCAGCAAAGCCACAAGCACAATAGGGTCATACGGCAGTGCTTTCGACAGACGGTCAACGTGGGTAAACAATCGCCCCGAAGTATGTATTTTATCAGCTAAGACATGATTTTTGAAAATCATTGACATTAGACAGTAGTGGAATCAGCCTAACGAACACTGGCCCGAACACTAGCGAAACCGACTTCTAATAAACACACATTTACAACATAAATAATACAGTTTTTTATCAGATCACATGTTAATTCAGATTTGTTTAAATTTGAGTTTACATTTATCATAGCTCTTGGTTTAGCAAGGTTTTCTCAGATTTGATGATATTTGTCATATTAGAAATTCAGACTGTTGTTTTATGACACTAATATTTGTATCAATATAAGATATTTAAAAACAGTATATAAGAAGGTAGCAAGTGCGTCATTGTAGCAACATGCTCAGATTTTTGTCCAGTAACTTTATAATATAAGATGGTTTAAAAGAAGCAAACATAAGCAATGAAAATTCGTTTTTAGAGCAATTTTATATCACAAAATCATATGTGTTAAAGTTTAGTGATAAAGCTATAAGCTACACAAGGTGCAGATAATTTATTGTAAAGGCATTTAAGTCATGTGGTGACATGGTACGTTGTTTAGAACGCAATATTAAAGACCCCGCGGTGCAACAATGGCCGCAAAGAAAGGCATTTCAGATAGGAGACTGTTAAAGATGGTTTTATCCAGCACACGTTGTAAAAAAGGATTAAGTGTTTCAAAGAATTTAAGATTATAATTATAAAACCTGTATTTTAAGATTTTTGTATTTTAAGAATCTTACTCAACAGTTTATGTAAATGTCTGTGCTAATAATCAATATAATTTTCGCTTACTTTAACACTTCACGCAGCCGCAGAGCCACATGCTAGTAAATGTTATGTTTCTTAAGTGTGAGTTAGAATAGAAATGTATTTTATTGCGTTTGAGTCACGTAGTACGAATTAGCAAGAAAATGATTTCTATTTGGTCGTTTAACGTTATGAAAATAGAACGGTAATTGTGAATGCAGTATTACTGAGTGAACGGTGTATGTATTCGTGAATAAGATCACTTCGGCTCTAAGCGGCGAGATAAACTAAGTAAATGTCTTTTAAATGTAATGAAAATTTTTCGGACAAACCTTTTTCCTTTAACCTCAATTGTTGAGGATTTCAAAGATTTTTAGCATCATGTTCTCAACAGAATAATAATGGGCATTAATGAGTGTGTGATGCTAAAGATAGAAAAGGTTTTACAGGTGGTCGGAAATTTTTTAATTTTGAAAATGAGATTTGTTATTACTACATTATCGAGTAAGCTAATCAATTGTCCATTATTAACATTTTTGTATATTTTCCAGCGGCGACGCAGCCGCAGAGCCACATTTTGGCAACCAGCATGTACATACGATAACATTATTGTACAAATAATACACTCGGTTTTTCTGCAGCACGCAGCCGCAGAGCCACATGCTAGTAAATGTTATGTTTCTTAAGTGTGAGTTAGAATAGAATCCTAGTTTCCAGCATCTTTGATCAGTTTTTGTGTAACACAACGCAACTCCGAAGAGGATGACACATCTTATGTATAATATATAGCTAGATCTACGAATTAGTCATGAATATTTTAAATAATTTAGCCTGCTCTGTCCAAATATGATACATCTTTGAATTTTTGAGAATACGAATGTCACTGGTGCCCCATTATTGGAGAATACGGTTGTGAAATGTCTTGGATCGGCATTTAACCGGTGTTTGGATACGACTTTTAGCGGTGACAGATGCAAAAGGTAATTCGAAATACCAGAATGTTGAGGCTCTTCAGACGCTTGCAGTAGGTCTCCAATATAAAGTGGGAAGAACTAAATAAGAGTAGATGACTTATAGTGTCAAGAGCCTATTTTTTCCAAAATAATTCAGTTAAACGTAGACCGAAAACAATAGCCTTGTTTGATTATAATTATGTTGTCCCATTTCAGACCTTTTGTAGATTTGTGGTTAAAGCAGTTGACCCGATTTCAGAATGTTGGCGAAAGTAATATCTTATCGAATTTCAGTAATATAATAAGACAGGTTTTATACCAATACATTTCAATGTATGGAAAGAAAAGTTTATCATGTATTTGAAGATATAAACATATTACTCTGTAACCAAATTGCTGAAACTACACATTTAACTTAAAATACAACATTTTTCAGATGGCAGCATCAGTAACACCTCTTATTGAGGAGCATACACTCGTATTCTACACCGGTAACATTCCGATCACATCAATCAGTGGGCCGTGTTACACTCGTTTCCATGACATTTCACAAGCGTATCCTCTGGGAAAAGATAAATCCTTCTCTTGCTCACTCTACGGGGGATCATATAAACTGAGATTTGGAGATCTTGTTCAGGTTAGCCATAAAAAGGTTTGGGATTTGTTTTTTTCTACTGTGATATTAATGATTTGGCTCTAAGGCGAGAAATCTGTACTTTCTGATTGATATTCCATTATGAACAGTTACATTGCTAAAATAGCTCATGTTTAACATTTTTTTGTTACATTACTATTAAATACAGCATAAACTATATTCAACAAACACAATTTCAAAAAGGATAATATAGAAGTTAACCTTTATTTTCCATTTTTAAGCAGCTGTGCCTCTCATGACTTTCCAAAACAGGTCATATTCGTAGCCTAAGAACCGGTCATACTCAATATACGCGGATACTCTAGTTTCCCGTGTGGTTGGTTGCTCATAATCACTAACTACGGACTTGAAATATCCCTCTTATATAATATTGGTATTATTTATTATTTCATGTAATAATTACAGGTTATTCTTGGACTATGGTTTATAAATATTTTGACTATTTAGGAGCTCTTTGGAGTAAGGGAGACTGGGGGAAAACGGGTCACGGGACAACAATGAACACCCCGGCAAGAACACTCCACACTCGGTTTTATTCAGACGTCATTCATCGGTCGCGATGTCGGATTCCATCTTGGGAAATTGCATTCACTTTCATCAAAGGGCCTGTAAATCAAAAAGTATGAATTCATACCTTAATGTACCGCTTTTTAACATCTCGTGTATTTTCTAAAATAGATTGAAAGAAAGATAGAACGCAAGAGGCCATATCTTGAAATGTAAAACAAATATGGCTGATACTCAGTCTATCGGGAAAAACGCATCCTCCTAAGCAGTTGTCCAGAATCCGTACCTCCTTGGGGGTAAAAAGGAAGAAGATATTCTGGATTTTGAAGCCCTATGATCGGAGGATGGGAAAAACGAGACAGCCTCTACTTTTAACTTTTAAATGATTCAAAATTGCATTGAAATCCGAATCCATTATTTAAATCAAAAAATGTTATTGTCAACGTCCAGTGGCTTATGCTATGTGTTACGTCTTGCTAATGCTAATTCAAAGATGAAAAGATACATGTCCATTGTCTAGATAGTTAGTCTAGATAAAATTAGATACTAAAGTTAATTAAATGCATCTACTTAAAGAGATCGTGTCTCCTAAAACACAATTAGAGTAACCCACTGATCTTTGTGCTATTTGATGTAAAACAAGTTTGTTTATCAACTTACCAATTCTGAGACTTGAATTAATTCGTTAACAGTATCAATTCGATGATTGTTCCTAGCCATGAATTTCCACTTTCATCAGTTGAAATTCAAAATAACATTTGAAAAGCCCTCTCCAATTTGTTCCAGTCTGATTTTCTTTTTTCTTCAGTTCCATCAGATTGGTTTGGCTCAGAGAAGCCATATTTATTACTTCTAAGGGGTTATAATATAGATAAATCCCCAAAAAACATTGTATATTGTTTTTGATTTATTGAGTTCAATTCTGACAGTTGGTTGTTCCATGGGCTTTCAACTAGACCTGTTGATTTTCTCAATATATTGGTGAAATTGTGCTTATGATTTGGACCAACCTCGATTGAACGGCCCAACCTCGATTGAATGGAAAAGATGCTGTCCCGTTCATTTTAGTAGGCTCACATGTAGCCCAGGGTAAGGTAAGTTTACTGTATATGTAGACCCGAAAATGAAGACCCGGTGTGAAAAAAATTATAGTCCCCAGGGATTATGGTCCCCTTTCTTAACGGCCCTTACTGGCCCTGATTGTGTGTAAGATAATGAGGGAAAGAGTTGTATTTAGGTCACCATATAAATTAATGGAGAGTAGGACCATAATTTGATAGGACCCCCTACCCTTTTACACCGGCCCCAGACGCTGTCTTCATGACAAATGTCCTTCCCCGGGGAATTCCCGCTTTTTACAGGTCAAATTTCGGTATAATTTCGTGCAGTGTAGATTCACCGGAAGTGAAAATAATTAAAGCTTTGGAAAGATTTTACGGTTTATTGTCATTTATGGCTTCTTTCACTGAGCCAAACTTCTTAAAGAAGTTGGAAGAACTGAACAGTTCCCAGCAGAGTATCCAAACATTATCGCTTTGGCTTATACATCACAGAAAACACTCGAAACCCATTGTTGATTTGTGGTTGCAAGAATTTTCAAAAGGTGAGTGACTCTCTTTTCAATTTGTCGTGGCTGCGTTCGACAATGTAACCTTTTAAGTCCGATGGATGACAAAGAACAAACTGGTAAGTAGATACATGGTTACATCACATCATTTCGTTATTTTAACCATATGAACTGGTTCCCAGAATAAAAAATTGAGTGTACAGTCTGTTACACTGCTTCAAAGGCAAGCAGTTAAACCTGAAATATAAGAAATCTAAATAATATTGTGCAATAATATATAGAAAAATATATTCATATTGCACACGAATGACATTTGTATATGTTGGATTGCTTGTAAATTGGCTCATAAACTCTGTAACCTCTTATATTTTGATGCTTCTCTACCATGTTAATTCTCAAAAAAATAACATGGCGGACATACCTCAAATTACAAGAGGGCACAGGCTTATTGCACTAAACACTGAATAATCTGAAATATACAAATGTCATTCGTGTGCAATATGAATATATTTTTCTATATATTATGGCACAATGGTCTATAGATTTCTTAATTTTCAGGTTCAACTGCTTGCCTTTGAAGCAGTGTAACAGACTGTAGTAGAGTCCATTTCACTGCTTCATTTCGTCAGTAGAACGGCAAAAATAAGAAATTGGGAGACCATTGTGCAATAATATATGGAAAAGTATATTCATAATGTACATGAATGACATTTGAATATTTCAGAATTTTTAGTTTTTTGTGCAATAAGCCTGTGCCGTCCTGTAATTTGAAGAATTCCAGCCATGTTAATCTTATTGAAAATAACATGGCAGAGAAGCATCCAAATATAAGAGGCCACACACTTTATAAGCCAAACTAGAAGCAATCCAAGATATACAAATGTCATTCATGTACAGTTTTCCATATATTATTGCACAATGGTCTCCAAATTTCTTATTTTTGCCGTTCTACTGACGAAATGAAGCAGTGAAATGGACTCTAGTCTAAAATCAAAACACATATTCTCGGGATAAGTTCATATGGTTAAAATAACCAAATAATGAAATGTTACCGTGTGTCTACTTAGCAGTTTGTTCTATGTCATCCCTCCTGCTAGGTTACATTGTGGAATGCAGCAAAACACGACAATGAAGGCAACAACATGTCGATATTGATCTTAGCAGAATTTTTGGAAATTTAGATCGTCCATTTTGCAAGCTCACGTGACTGATTGCGTAACACGTGTTTGATCACATGACACGTGTCTGATCACGTGACTAGTTACTGTATCAATAATGACGTTTCACCCAACCATGTCTTCAAGGAAAGTGATAGTAAATATTTTGGAAAATGTTTTGCGAGCATTTGCTACTGATTATAGAAGAGGGCACGCCGAGATCGCAATGTCAAACATTGTAGGGAGGGCTGCTAAAGTCACTGGGTATTCCAAATCAGTTTTTTCAACTAAACTGCTAAATTATAATTTTAGTCTGCTTATTGATCTCTTGATTTATAAAGACCTGAAATGATGCATATAAATAAGACCGCCTCCTAAATGAAAAGACTACACATAAAGTGGTGAAAAACACTGAACTAAAGTTGAAAGATCACAACGTTCGCTACTTTGTTCAATTCCGGAAGTCTCCAAGGGGCTGCAAATGGGAAATTTTAAAGATTTAGATTTTATAACCTCAGAATACTGCCTTTAGTGTCGTGTTTGGCTGCGTTCCACAATGTAACCTAGCAGGAGGGATGACATAGAATGATAGAACAAACTGCTAAGTAGACACACGGTAACATTTCATTATTTTGTTATTTTAACCATATGAACTTATCCCATGAATATGTGTTTTGATTCTAGCTATGCCAAATCATACCTCTCTTGCATTCTGTGTTCTCTATATTCATAAACAAAGGTGATTCCAACATTCCTTCATTGATAAGAGTAAAAAATAAAGTAATTTTGTACTCTGGAACTGAGTACGTCAATCTGAAAATGTTTACCTTGTTTGTTTTTGAGAATTATGATGTCAGAAGAATGATGAGATTTGTAAGATATTTTGCATATTCGATCCCTGAGCCGATTTGCCACAGTTTAACTTAAAATACAGCGTTCATACCCAATATTATAGAACCAAACAAATTGCTAAAGAAAGATGAAGTGACAGGCTATACAGGATACAAGATATCGCTTTGTTTGAGGGAGTAGTGCTCTCCCCATGCCCCACATTGAAATCTCCGAGGCGCAATTAGATTGCCAATAATTCATAATTACGGGGTTGGCCAACTTGGAATGAGATCTTGCCCATCGGTGAATTGAAAATACAGGGCGATCCAAAAAATAACCCAAAGAGTGGTTTTTTGGGCCTGATGCAAACTCCAATTCTCCCTTTCGCGGTTCGCTCTTTGAATCAGAATGTTCGCAAATATGTACTGAAAAAGCACTCAAAAAGGACAACATTTGATTGGTCAATATTTTCCCACTATGCATTTCGCGTAGTTATTTGCGTGACCCGAAAGTTCTAAACCAAACTAATTACGCAATTTTGTTTTTACACCCGCACGCTAAATAAAACAATGACACCATCGGAAGTATTCTTCGTTGTCATTGCTTTAATAGTCAGTATACCGAGTTTAATAAATAAAAGATTGTACAATGACCAACAAAATTCGGAAACGAGTATTATAGATTTGCTTTCGGACCACTGAACAGATTGACCTAGATAATAGTGACGCGTCTTCTTTGGTCTACTGCTCAGTTGTTTGTGGGTTTTCAACTCTATAATGTAATTTGAAGATGAATACTTTTATTCAGTTGTGACATCGATGTTGCAGTTTGTAGTGCGGTAAGATTGTCAGGAAAGTATTGAAAGTCGAATGGAATTGTTTTTTCCAAAATGGCGACTAGTCAACTGATCTCGTGACCTTCTCTTCCGGAATATTTTCTCACTTTTCAATCATCGTTTTCACCACGCTATGAATCAATACAATGAAAAAAATAGCTGTTATATTAAGACTAATAAGAGACCAATCATTTCTAATAATTTTTTCTGTACTTTCGTACAGGAATATGAACGAATATATCGTTTGAGAAATAGGTGTGAAAATCCCCATGTTAAACCTATGAGGGAAAACAAGGAAGTATAAATTTGTTCCTCTGCGAACTGCATCATGGGAAATATTTTGACCTTATAAGGAAAGATTTTCGTGTCTCCTCTTTTGAAGAGGGAACAACGATTTTGAGAATTGGCCTTGGTAGAAGTTGTCATTCCTGGATGCCCAAACGTGTCAGGAAAACATAGATACTTGAATGATCTTGATTGGACATCAGGGTGCAGGGTAATCGTAATTTTACTGAGTGGCTTCATGACAAAATAAACAGGGTTATAAGACACCTTAACCATTTATTTTCTCAAAAATTAGGCAAAGTACCATCTCCTTTGTTTTACCATCTGTGCTTTCATTAACGCTGTTCAAACATTACAAAAACACAAAAAATATTGATGGACTCAGAAATGGAAAATCACTGCGTCCCATGGACGTACTGCAAGTCATATTCAAAATCAACTCCGGATGTATCTATTAATCTTACATTCAGTCTTTTATTACACACTTGTTTGATGATTTTTGGATCTATTTAATATGTGCGTTCATTTCACATATCCTGTGAGAACTGCAATCAGAAACAAACTGAAGTGTAAAATACAATCACCGAAAGGAACCATAAAATCTCAAACTGTTTGACCCCTCATATGGATCTGACAAAAACTTTTCGTTAAGCTTTCCCATTTTCTGAGAAATTGGCGATATTGACATCAAAAACTCACATTTTTGTCAAGAGAGACATTGCTTGCGGCTCTTGACATTCACTCAGAGAATTGAGAGTCTGTGTAGGTGTAATAGATGTCAGTGTTGAAGAAGAGGAGAGATCACTGTAGGTATTGAAGATGAGGAGCAACCGTTTGAGTCTTGATGAGGAGACATTGTTATTATAAGAAAGAATGAAACGTTGATCCAGATGTGACAATTTCCCATCCTTTTCCAATTCCTTAACCTCTTTTCTTTACATGTCAATGGACATTGAATTAGTAGCCTCAAAAACAAAACTAATGAGATATCATTGCCAAAGTAGTTAGAAGGCATTTTCCAACCAATCTCTCCTCCTCTTCAACACCTACATTGATCTCTCCTTAGTTCAATAATCTTTGATAATGGCAATTAAATTTTGAAAAATGACCACTAATGTAGTTTACCTCTAAGCGGAACATAAAGAATTGGAAGCTGAAGGAATGAGGTCAACTAGGAGCTAGTAATATTGTGTTATAAATTTTTCATTGGAGGTTTCAGTAATAAAAGTAAAAAGATGTAAGGCTAAAGGGACATTTTCCATTATGATTTGAACACATTAACATAACAGCACCCATGTAAAAATATTTTTTTCATTTTTAATTGGGCGTAAGAATCTATAAATAATGCTAATGCTAGTAGGTAGTTACCAGTTTCACCACCAGGTGGCTCGCTCGGGCCAGATAGCATGGCGGGAATAGTAGAAAGTTCCCTTTAACTTAAATTACATCTATTTTAGTGGTTCAATTTTCATATAGCAGAGATCACGGTAGACGTTCGCCATTCGCCAATTGCGAATTTTCGAAAGAGGTGGCGAAAAATATGTTAAGGTATTTCGCAGTTATGGCGAATTAGAGGTGTCACGGTTTCCCGATATTGGACCGAATTTCGGTCCAGATGCTTCGGTTCGGGACATGGGACAGAAAGGGTTAATATCGGTAAATAGATTCCTTCACTAAAATGCATAAAAACGTGTATAAATAGCGAGGAACACCTCCGATTTCGTTCTGAAATATTTTCACTTACCTCGTACCTAGATTACACTTCTTTGCATTGAAAAGTGTTATTAACGGACCTGCGATTTCAGGTAGATGGTAATGCTTGTTCGTAAATTTCTTCATCGTCGTTCGCAAATCTAGTGCATTATCAGTATGCCGGATGTAGGAAAGAAATTGAAAAATCGAGCCGGCATCTAAGTCGAAAAAGTCGGCAGTTTGGAAGTATTTTGGGACTCCGATATCACAAGGTAAACGAATTGGTAATATTACACCGTGCAGACTATGTGAAATGCCGATCACATTCGCGGCAGATGCTTTACATTCAATTTTAATTGACGTTTTTTTATTCCTGAATATGATTTTGAAAAGTGAAACTGAAAGTGAAACTGTCATCATCAGACATTTCATCATTTTTAATGTTCTGTCCCGTCCCGTCCCGAAAGTAACGTGTTGAGACCATTTTTACCGTTCCATACCGTACCGAAATTTTCTTGGACCGTGACACCTCTATTGCGAATTCCCTTTTTTACGGTTTTTCAAAATGGCTAATTCATATTTTGGTTGGCTAAAAATATTTTGGAAGATTTAGCCACAATGGCTAACAAGTTTTTTCAACTATCGTGATCTCTGCATATAGCCCTTATGGATCGAATAGTTATGCAAATTAAAGTATGTCCAGTAAACAAAAATGTTATATGTCCAATACAAGAAAAGATATTTTACTTTTTGTGATTTTGTAATGGGGAATCAACCCGAACTAGAAGTCACATTTTCAAAAAATATTAAATATTCAAAGTTGATTTAAACAATTTTCAAAACCATATCTTTAAATGTATTTTACATGTAGATTTCAAATATGACATCACTTTGACTGAATTCTGAATATTTAATGATGTAAATCAAGATCATTTCTACTCGCACCTAGTCTATTGATGACCCTAGCACTTGCTTACTTTAATGTTTAGCTAGACACCTGCTAGAGGGGTCACATTGTATTTATCACTCCTCTCAGTACACCATTTCTACTGGCTGAATTTACCTGAGCCCACGGATAAGTACTTGATAGTTCCTATGGAATCCTTATAAAATTAAAAAAATTTCTGAGAAAATGATTAGCCATAGTTTGGTACTTACAAAAATGATTTATATTTGCTCTTTCCTGTTGTTTTATTTAATTGCTAGATATTTTCTGACTGAACAAATAACTATTTTTTATCACATTTTTCATTTAAAACCACAATAAACCTCCACACAATTCACATGTCACATGGCATCAGTCTTTTTATCGTACCTAACAAAAGGTACGATATTGTAGTCAGCTTGACGGGTGGCAGGCGGCGGGCGGCGGGCGGTTTGCGGGCGGCGTCTCACTTTTCAGCTTGTCTACAGGTTTCCAGCCAAACCATTTGAGGGATTCATCTGAAATTTTCAGGGATGTTTCTACATATCAACGTCAAGAACTGATTAGTTTTTGGGCATTCTGGGTAAATCTTAAGGTGGCCATTTTGGATTTTCCGTCCTAAAATCTTCACTTTCAAGACTTGTCTACAGGTTTCAAGCCAAACCATTTGAGGGTTTCATCTGAAATTTTCAGGGATGTTTCTACATATCAACGTCAAGAACTGATTAGTTTTTAGGCATTCTGGGTAAATCTTAAGGTGGCCATTTTGGATTTTCCGTCCTAAAATCTTCACTTTCAAGACTTGTCTACAGGTTTCCAGCCAAACCATTTGAGGGATTCATCTGAAATTTTCAGGGATGTTTTTACATATCAACGTCAAGAACTGATTAGTTTTTGGGCATTCTGGGTAAATAATAAGGTGGCCATTTTGGATTTTCCGTCCTAAAATCTTCACTTTCAAGACTTGTCTACAGGTTTCCAGCCAAACCATTTGAGGGATTCATCTGAAATTTTCAGGGATGTTTCTACATATCAACGTCAAGAACTGATTAGTTTTTGGGCATTCTGAGTAAATCTATAGGTGGCCATTTTGGATTTTCCGTCCTAAAATCTTCACTTTCAAGACTTGTCTACAGGTTTCCAGCCAAACCATTTGATGGATTCATCTGAAATTTTCAGGGATGTTTCTACATATCAACGTCAAGAACTGATTAGTTTTTGGGCATTCTGGGTAAATCTTAAGGTGGCCATTTTGGATTTTCCGTCCTAAAATCTTCACTTTCAAGACTTGTCTACAGGTTTCCAGCCAAACCATTTGAGGGATTTATCTGAAATTTTCAGGGATGTTTCTACATATCAATGTCAAGAACTGATTAGTTTTTGGGCATTCTGGGTAAATTTTAAGGTGGCCATTTTGGATTTTCCATCCTAAAATCTTCACTTTCAAGACTTGTCTACAGGTTTCCAGCCAAACCATTTGAGGGATTCGTCTGAAATTTTCAGGGATGTTTCTACATATCAGCGTCAAGAACTGATTAGTTTTTGGGCATTCTGGGTAAATTTTAAGGTGGCCATTTTGGATTTTCCGTCCTAAAATCTTTACTTTCAAGACTTGTCTACAGATTTCCAGCCAAACCTTTTGAGGGATTTATCTGAAATTTTCAGGGATGTTTCTACATATCAACGTCAAGAACTGATTAGTTTTTGGGCATTCTGGTTAAATTTTAAGGTGGCCATTTTGGATTTTCTGTCCTAAAATCTTCACTTTCAAGACTGTCTACAGATTTTCAGCCAAACCATTTGAGGGATTCATCTGAAATTTTCAGGGATGTTTCTACATATCAACGTCAAGAACTGATTGGTTTTTGGGCATTCTGGATAAATTTTAAGGTGGCCATTTTGGATTTTCCGTCCTAAAATCTTCACTTTCAAGACTTGTCTACAGGTTTCCAGCCAAACCGTTGTCCCCCTTGAGCATCTTGGTCATGAAATGGATAGGGAGGGGAGGAAGAGCACTGGCGGTTCCAGGGAGGAGGGGGGGGGGCATGGGGCTCAGGCCCCCCTTTTATCAGGGCCAGAAAATTTTTTAGGGCCCCAAAAAGTTTTTGGCTTAAGCATTTTGTAGGGCCTTTTGGCCATATTTTAGGCCAAACTATCAAAAAATGGGCCTCAAATTTTCAAAATTTCAACTTTTAGTTTTAGGGGCTCATTTGGGCCCCCCTTGTTAGTTTCTGGATCTGCCATTGGAGAGATATATGATCAGGCACTAAATAGAAGTTTCAGCAGAGCAATGTACACATTGTATTTTATTTAATTTTTACTTGACTCCCAATTTATCCTGTTATACAAGAATTTATTTTTGTGAAAGGCACATATCCCAAAGCAATGATGTGATTCATGCCTTTGTATGTTTCCTTTGAGCATCTTGGTTGTGAAATAAATAGGGAGGGTAGGGGGATGATGTATGATCAGGCACGGAATATATAGGAATGTCTACAGAGGGATGTTCACATTGTCTTGAATTATTTTATTTTTATTTGACACTCATGTCCTGTTATACAAGTATTTATTTTTGTGAAAGGTACATATACTCACTCCCAAAGCAATAATGTACAGTTTACATACTTTGATTTATTTTCAGTCGATGTTGCCAAAAAGCTAACATTTTGCTACCTGGCAAACGATGTTGTACAAAATAGTCGCAAAAAGGGCTCACAGTTCATCACTGACTTCCAGGATGTCCTACCAGATGCATTTGAGGAATGTTCCAGGTAATAAATGCATCATGCTTTGAGTTCATTTGGCCTTGATTCAGTGTCCCCTTGAATCCATATGGCCATACATCCATGTACCCTTGAATCCTTATGGCCTTATATCCATGTACCCTTGAATCCTTATGGCCTTGTATACATGTACCCCTGGCATGTACCCTTGAATCCTTATGGCCTTATATACATGTACCCTTGAATCCATATGCCCTTATATCCATGTATCATTGAATCCATATGGCCTTACATCCATGTCTCCTTGAATCCATATGGCCTTATATCCATGTACCCTTGAATCCATATGGCCTTATATCCATGTACCATTGAATCCATATGGCCTTACATCCATGTCTCCTTGAATCCATATGGCCTTATATCCATGTACCCTTGAATTCATATGACCTTATATCCATGTACCCTTGAATCCATTTGGCCTTACATCCATGTCTCCTTGAATCCATTTGGCCTTATATACATGTACCTTTGAATCCACATGGCCTTATATCCATGTACCCTTGAATCCATATGGCCTTACATCCATGTCTCCTTGAATCCATATGGCCTTATACCCATGTACCCTTGAATCATTATGGCCTTACATACATGTACCCTTGAATCCATATGGCCTTGTATACATGTACCCTTGAATCCATATGGTCTTATATCCATGTACCATTGAATCCTAATGGCCTTATATACATGTACCCTTGAATCCATATTGCCTTGTATACATGTACCCTTGAATCCTTATGGCCTTATATACATGTACCCTTGAATCCATATGGCCTTATATCCATATACCCTTGAATCCTTATGGCCTTACATCCATGTCTCCTTGAATCCACATGGCCTTATATCCATGTACCCTTGAATCCTTATGGCCCTACATTCATGTCTCCTTGAATTCTTATGGCCTTATATACATGTACCCTTGAATCCATATGGCCTTATATCCATGTACCCTTGAATCCATATGGCCTTATATCCATGTACCCTTGAATCCATATGGCCTTAAATCCATGTACCTTTGAATCCATATGGCCTTACATCCATGTACCCTTTGAACCCATATGACCTTATATCCATGTACCCTTGAATCCATATGGCCTTATATCCATGTACCCTTGAATCCTTATGGCCTTATATACATGTACCCTTGAATCCATATGGTCTTATATCCATGTACCATTGAATCCTTATGGCCTTATATACATGTTCCCTTGAATCCATATTGCCTTGTATACATGTACCCTTGAATCCTTATGGCCTTATATACATGTACCCTTGAATCCATATGGCCTTAAATCCATGTACCCTTGAATCCATATGGCCTTACATCCATGTACCCTTTGAACCCATATGGCCTTATATCCATGTACCATTGAATCCATATGGCCTTATATCCATGTACCCTTGAATCCATATGGCCTTAAATCCATGTACCCTTGAATCCATATGGCCTTACATCCATGTACCCTTTGAACCCATATGGCCTTATATCCATGTACCCTTGAATCCATATGGCCTTATATCCATGTACCCTTGAATCCATATGGCCTTATATACATGTACCCTTGAATCCATATGGCCTTAAATCCATGTACCCTTGAATCCATATGGCCTTACATCCATGTACCCTTTGAACCCATATGGCCTTATATCCATGTACCCTTGAATCCATATGGCCTTATATACATGTACCCTTGAATCCATATGGCCTTATATCCATGTACCCTTGAATCCATATGGCCTTACATTCATGTCTCCTTGAATCCATATGGCCTTATATCCATGTACCCTTTGAACCCATATGGCCTTATATACATGTACCCTTGAATCCTTATGGCCTTATATACATGTACCCTTGAATCCATATGGCCTTATATACATGTACCCTTTGAACCCATATGGCCTTATATCCATGAGCCCTTGAATTTATGTGTGGCTTGAATCTAATTCCCCTTGAATTCGTGTTCCCTAGAATCTATATGTATTTGAATTCGGTTGAGATCACATATTTTTGAATAAATATGCCCTTGGATTCTGGTCCCTATCTGGCTGCCCTTGTAATCGAATGCCCTTAAATCTACCTGCCTTTGAAACTCTTGAATTTTTTTTGCCCTTGATTTAACATTTCTTTGAATCCTTTCAATCAATATCCCCTTGATCCTTTGATTTGCACACCCTTAAATCTACCTGCCCTTGAATCCCTTGACATTAAATGCCCTGGAAACTACCTGCCCTTGAATAAATTCACCCTTGAATCCATGGAATTAAATGCCCTCTGACATACCTGCTTTAAATCCTAGAAATTGCATGTCACGTTTTGCTTTTACACTTTTACACTGCATAATCAATTTTGTTTCCTGGTTGCCTGCCTCTAAGGTTATGCTAATAAGAAAGGAGGAATTGTTGAAATATTATAGTACCCTGGACAGCTTTTGAGAATGTTATGTTATATCATGTTACATACTCAACTATGTTTTCTTAAATCTAAAGATCCCAGTAAATATTCTTCATTCTGTATCATATCATTTACATATGTATATTTTACGAGTGTAGAAATAGTATTTTTACTACGTGTTTATGCTTCTTGCTTGTAGACTTGGAGTTTCATATTTTTTCAGAATGTCTTAATTGTTGATTGTACTTTTCAGAGATGCAGATGAAAAAACCAAGAAGGCAATCCGTAGATTGGTTGACATCTGGGGAGAAAGAGGGGTGTTTGGAAAGGAGTTCATAAAAACATTAAAACAAGCGACTAGTGAGTACCCATTACCTACCGATGATGTTACTTTAAGACCATGACAAATGAAACATCTGTTACTTTAAGGCCTTAACAAATGAAATATCTGTTACTTCAAGGCCTTAACAAATGAAATATCTGTTACTTTAAGGCCTTGACAAATGAAATATCTGTTACTTCAAGGCCTTAACAAATGAAATATCTGTTACTTTAAGGCCTTGACAAATGAAACATCTGTTACTTTAAGGCCTTAACAAATGAAATATCTGTTACTTTAAGGCCTTAACAAATGAAATATCTGTTACTTCAAGGCCTTAACAAATGAAATATCTGTTACTTCAAGGCCTTGACAAATGAAACATCTGTTACTTTAAGGCCTTAACAAATGAAATATCTGTTACTTCAAGGCCTTAACAAATGAAATATCTGTTACTTCAAGGCCTTGACAAATAAAATATCTGTTACTTCAAGGCCTTGACAAATGAAATATCTGTTACTTTAAGGCCTTGACAAATGAAATATCTGTTACTTCAAGGCCTTGACAAATGAAATATCTGTTACTTTAAGGCCTTGACAAATGAAATATCTGTTACTTTAAGGCCTTGACAAATGAAATATCTGTTACTTCAAGGCCTTGACAAATGAAATATATGTTACTTTAAGGCCTTGACAAATGAAATATCTGTTACTTAAAGGCCTTGACAAATGAAATGTCTGTTACTTAAAGGCCTTGACAAATGAAATATCTGTTACTTAAAGGCCTTGACAAATGAAATATCTGTTACTTAAAGGCCTTGACAAATGAAATGTCTGTTACTTAAAGGCCTTGACAAATGAAATGTCTGTTATCTCACCATTGTAAAAGGCTCTTTTCAGTCAGTATGGCACTACGAAAATGGGACTTCTGCACATGTTAACATTTTTCGTCAAAACTCAACTTTTGTTCAAGTTGATACGATTGTCTTTTGAACTGGAGACTAACCTCATTCGAAAGATCCCAAGAGACTATATCTATACTGAAAATCTTAGATCCCAGGCAGCATAGTAGAATGCCATTAGTCTGCTTTTGATTTTTTGAAGTGAGTTTCGTATACGGGTTATCTCAAATTGATTTGTTTATACCTGAAGAGATTTTACATCTAATTAATGATATTGATGTCACTAAAGCACATGGTCCTGATGAGATATCCAATAAAATGCTCAAATTATGTGCACATTCTATAGCAGATCCACTTTCATTACTATTTAACAGAATTTTTCAAGACAACATTTTTCCTGACATTTGGAAAGAGGGTACAATAGTTCCAATATTTAAAAAGGGAGACAGAGCACTAGTTACTAATTACAGACCAGTTACTCTTCTAAGTTCAATCTCTAAAATCTTGGAATCTATAATTCATAAAAGACTATATTCTCACCTCGTGCAACATGATCTTATTTATAGGCTTCAGAGTGGGTTCTTACCCAAACATAGTACTGTCAATCAGCTTATTAATATAGTTCATGATATTCATGAACACATTGATGATAACAAGAATGTAAGATCAGTATTTTTGGATTTAACATCAGCTTTTGATTTAGTTCCACATAAACTATTAATTTCAAAACTTAAGGGATACGGTTGTAATGATAAATTTATCAATTTAATGTCCTCATACTTAGATAACAGAAGAGTAAGAGTCCGCGTGAATGGCACCCTTTCAAAATGGTCTTCAAATAATATTAACAATCAAAATGAACCTAATGAGCAGTCTGTGAACTATACCATCAATGCTGGAGTGCCACAAGGGTCTGTCCTTGGACCGTTACTATTTCTAATTTATATAAATGATTTGCCAGATGAATTACTATCAAAATCGTTCATTTTTGCCGATGATACTTCCATTTATTGCCCATATGACAAAAATACAGTGTTTTTCAATATTCATCAACCAATTCAAAGTGATTTGGACAAGCTTGCTCTCTGGGCTGCCACCTGGAAGATGCAATTCAAAGCTCAAAAAAGCGCCGACATCATTTTCTCTAGAAGAAATATTCCTTTTGACCCACCACCATTGAGATTAGGTGCAGATGTTATTCCCAGTTGTGAGAATCACAAACATCTAGGGCTTAATCTTGACAAACACCTTAACTTCAATTACCATATTGATCAGATTATAAAAAGAGTTACCTCACTCCTAAGACCAATGAAAAAATTGAGCAAACTTTTAAATAGTATGCACTTAGAGATAATATATAATACGTATATCATGCCACATTTTGATTATTGCGATGTAATTTACAATAAGGCTTCAAATTTGAAACTACAAGCTCTTGACAGACTCCACTACCGAGCAGCCTGTTTGGTATCTGGTTCTATTCATGGATCCAATACTATTAAAGTCTTAAATTCTTTGAATTGGAAATCCTTATCCGTTAGAAGAATCGAGCACCTAAAAATGTTTGTTTTTAAATGCAGATATAATATCAACCCCCCGTTTATTTGTGATTTACTTCGTAAATATGAGCATATACCTGCCCGTAATTTAAGAGATCAAAGAGATTATTCTCTTCCAACTCGACTGAGCATGTCTTCTAAAAGAAGTACCATATTTCAGGCTATAACATTGTGGAATGATTTGCCACCTGATACTAGAAGGGGTCAACCCATTTCTAGTTTTAAAAGATTAGTGCGAGAGTACAAGAGCCCTGTCTCTTTAATCCCAACTACTAAATTAAATGTGATCTTACCCAGACATCTCGAAATAAAACTTAATAGACTAAGATCTGGCCTCTTATTAAAATCACACCTTTATGCTCACAACTTCAAAGACATTACTGATCCTTTGTGCCACTGTGGTGTACCAATGACAACCATGCATTTTCTTTTAAAATGCCCACTGCTACAGAATGAAAGAAACAACCTCATTGCAGGCCTTCGTATTTACAATTTAAGTGACTTGTTCAATAACTACAACTTGAATGACAAATTACAATTTTTACTGTTTGGAAGCACTAACCTGGATGCTACTATGAATGAAGCTTTAATTCATATTGTTAGCTATTATATACATACAAGCCTTGTTTTATTATCTATCTAGTAGTAATTTGACAAGTCCTTTTTTCTGCAATGACCGAATTATTTTTCAAGTTCCGTTAACATCCTGGCCCATGGGATAACCTTCAGGTATTTTGAAATAACCTTAACAAATTTATCTTATTTCATTATCTAATATCTACATGTATATATAATATATATATTAAATTGCCGCTAATGTTGCAAAACCTTGGCAATTAGAATTTGTAATTGAATGTAAATGTTTATATTAGAAATAAATTGATAACATGAAAAAAAAAAAATTTGTTTATAAATACAAATTTCTTTACGAAAGTCACATGCACTAAATTAATTTATAAACGTGATTGGTTGATGATTTTCTCCTGAGCATGCGCAAAATCTGATGAACACTTATTATGAAGACATGTAGCAATCATCCATCAGTCCGTCAGTCAGTCAATCCGTCCGTCCGTCTGTCCGGAAGAAAACTCATATACTAGTTGACAGATTTGCTTCATATTTGGTGGAAATATATATATTGGTGAACAGTTTTATGCAAGAAAAGTTTCAAGATGGCCGCCGGTTTAAAAATGGCGGGAATTTTTTGCAAAAGTCTTATGTTTTTCTTTTTAAACAAAAATAATAAATATTATTATTGAAATTTTGGTAGTATATTCACAAGGTCTATCTATTTCACATATATTCCGTGTTTTTCACCCTGTCCCTCAGGGTTTGAAAAACAGGAATTTGCATTAATTTTGAGATGTTTTTGAAATAACTTTATTATACTCAAATGAAAAGCAATTTAGAGTAGATTGCAAATATTGTATCATTTTTCTGATTCGGGCCTCGTAAAATTCATAATGGCCGACTAATGTGGGATTTCGCAATTGTTTGTTGATCTCTTAAAGTATGGCTATATTATACTCAAATTGAAGGAATTTCAGAGTAGATCACAATTATGGTAAAACTGTTTGCCATTCCCACAGACATCTATTTAAGAACATCTAATAGGCTGGTTGACCAAAGTTTTTTGATGGTGTTATCTCATTCTTATCATGTGCCATGTAGAATTGATCTCTGCCATCTCATTTTACGAATTTGTGCATTTAAAGTTGTATAGGTAAGTAGTAAAATGTCAAAAGGTGGCAAAAAAGAAAAATCCTAGATGGTTTCAACCGATTTTAAGAGATTCAAGAGCTCATGAATATTATAATGAGCAGCTTATAAATCTGTGACGTCAATGATAGAAACTTTTTCCGCAAAAGAACAAATGTAATTGAGTTTACATGTAAATTCTCGGTTAATTGCTGTCAATTGTACTGCTAATCAAGGTTTATCAGAAACTTAATGTTGATTTTTTATTAAATATCAACTTGACATTAGTTAATGAATTAGTTACGCCTTCTACGCAATATAATCATTAAATTTCCATTCAAAATTAGGAGAACATTGAAGAGATTCACTGCCTGTCAGTAACTAGGCATAGACGGCGACTGGATATAAACAGCAGACATTAGCGTTAGTTAACCTGACTATATGTCTCATAAGAATATATAGACAGATCATTTATTTAAATTAAATTAATTGTTGATCGTCAAGGTCATTTGATGAATGACCTGTTTAAAATTGAAAACATTTGCACTTATCAATTAAATCCTTAACTTCACTCGCCATTAGTAAATCAGCTAAATATGATTAGTAATTCCCATGTATTTCTGCAAGTACCATAATCGCCTTAATAAGGGCCCACTTCTAATAAGCACCCACCCCGCTTCACAGAGCTCAAGAAATATTGAGGTATACCAAGTATTAATGAATATATCAGGAAAAAATCAGATTTCGAAAAAGAAATATAGTGGACGATATAGAGTACTTACACTAAAATGCAGAAAATGTGACGCATTTTGTAATTCGATGCATCCTCCCGATAAATATCTATCAGTGGGTGCTTCCCACATCATAGTAGACTAATATTATC